GCTCTCAAACTTTTTATTTTGCCACAGCACCCATGTCCGGCTAAATTTCTCTTGCGGCACAGCTACCCTTTAAGCTATTTGAATACTAAGGAAAAGAAGAAAAAAGTGCGCATTTAATGTTCAGCTGTCTTTAATGCGATGAATGAAACTGTTTAGATTAATTTTTCTTTATGCTCGAGGCACCCTTGACATACGCTAGTGATACCCCAGCGTGCTGCGGCACCCAGAACCACTTCTCTAGGGAATGTAATAGATTTAACGCTTCACTAATGTTTATCGATGACTCTCTTTAAATATCTTCATATATTTTGAAAAAATAAACACCAAAAACATACATAAATAAATAAATTTTTGTAACTGAAAAACTGATTTTATTTTTCTAAATTTTTAAAAAGAATTACCAGTGTTGTCCTTTTTATTTTAAGCGTTACTGGGGCAACAAGGTTAACATGTTCAGAAACACATACTTTTTTTTTTTAAGTTTAAAAGCCATACAAAATTACATCTGTTCATAACCAATTTAAAAAAAAGAAGACATTCTTACTCACAGAAGGATGTCTGCACAACCACTATTTTATTCCCATGTAAACTGTGTCATCTATCCTAAAATGTTTGGGGTTATGGACATTTTTCATAATTCCAAAACACTGATGATCTTTAGCAATGACCCATGCACAAAGCATTGGCACACAACAGAGGTTTAAACTGCCTTGAACCACAACCAGCCAACAAATGCTGGAGTTGGTCTGTAATGTCCTGCAAAGGATATGCATATAACAACAACACCTACAAATAGCACAGCAACAACACAAACAAAGACAGATCACAACCAATATATCAAATACACAAGACAGGGTCTACTTTCATCTATACCTTAAGGCAGAATCATGATGACAAAATAAACTAAAAAAGATGACCAACAGAATGACTGACCATAGTGGTTTATGGCTGTTACTAGCTGTCTCAAAACAAACACCCGCCCCAAAAAAGTCAAACAAAATAACGTTATCAGTCTAACAATATATTAACAGTGGCAGTTGTGAGCGAATAAAAAACATGTGTATAAGAATAGTTAATTGACATTTCATCTTGTACAGTTGTACACATACAGCACCCATTTTCTTTGTACTTGCCCAGAGTGTAATCAGTCTAATTTGTATACATATCCATGTTATCTGAGTCTGCAGGTTATTTATATATGCTTTTCTCCCCTATGTAATCAAATACTTTTACACAGACACACACATACATTTGCTGTTTTTCCAGTGTATAATCAATATTATACACATATCTATTTGCTGTTTTTCAGTGTGTCATCAAACTTGCACAAACAAATAAATATTCTGTTTTCCCAAAGTATAATCAAATAATGCAACATATACATTACATTACACCTCCATATTTGTATTCTTCCGGTGGTAATTAATCTTACACAAGTATTTTCTGAGTGTGCAACCAGTCTTAAATATAAACATATATTTATTTTACAAACCTGCAATGAATCTTACACATACACATTCACTGACTATTTCCAGATAATCTTACATATATACACCCATGTTTCTATTTTTTTTTTTTTTAGTTTGTAGCCTTAGGTCTCCATTCTCATTTGTTATTTATGTGTGAGCTTAAATAAGAACCAAACAAGTTCTAGCTACTTAAATTTATTCCAGCGAAAAATACCCAAAAATATACACACATTTCTGGGTGTTTTTAAGGTAACACAACTCTGGCCCATTTATAACAAATTCAATAAGAGTCTTTCTCATATCCTTGCCCTTTGTGTGTGTGTGTGCTCGTGTGCGTGTATGCGCGCGCGTGTGTGTGTGAGTGAGTGAGAGAGAGAGTGTGTGTGTGTGCGCGCGTGTGTGTGTACGCATGTTCTGATCTGATAAAGTTATCCGCTTACATATTACCTCTATCTCTGTATCTCTTGCTTACAGCGTTCCAAATTAGAATACAACCTCTCTTGCTGACACCATCTATCTTCATGACACCATCTCTTGTCTTCCTCTTCCTGACACTATCTGTCTGGCACCATCTCTGTTCCTGACACCATCCGCCTGGCACCATCTCTCTTCCTGACACTATCTGCCTGGCACCATCTCTCTTCCTGACACTATCTGTCTGGCACCATCTCTGTTCCTGACACCATCCGCCTGGCACCATCTCTCTTCCTGACACTATCTGCCTGGCACCATCTCTGTTCCTGACACTATCTGCCTGGCCTCATCTCTGTTCCTGACACTGTCTGCCTGGCACCATCTCTGTTCCTGACACTATCTGCCTGGCACCATCTCTGTTCCTGACACTATCCGCCTGGCAAAATTTCTGTACCTGACACTATCTGCCTGTCACCATCTCTGTTCCTGACACTATCTGCCTGGCACCATCTCTGTTCATGACACTGTCCCTCTTCCTGACACTTTCTGCCAGGCACCATCTCTGTTCATGACACTGTCCCTCTTCTTGATACTTTCTGCCTGGCACCATCTCTGTTCCTGACACTATCTGCCTGGCACCATCTCTGTTCCTGACACCTTCTGCCTGGCACCATCTCTGTTCGTGACACTATCTGCCTGGCACCATCTCTGTTCGTGACACTATCTGCCTGGCACCATCTCTCTTCCTGACACTATCTGCCTGGCACCATCTCTGTTCATGACACTATCTGCCTGGCACCATCTCTCTTTCTGACACTATCTGCCTGGCACCATCTCTGTTCCTGACACTATCTGCCTGGCACCATCTCTGTTCATGACACTGTCCCTCTTCCTGACACTATCTGCCTGGCACCATCTCTGTTCATGACACTGTCCCTCTTCTTGATACTTTCTGCCTGGCACCATCCCTCTTTCTGATATCATCTATGACATAACAGTATGCAGATTTACATCTGTACCCTGTCAACAATTCCATAAGACCTATAAAAGGGCAATATTTATCACAACAATAAACACATTACCATTACAGTCTGTACACATCACAGCAGGTGTCTGCTGGGGCAATTGTTATTACAGATGAAATTTACACAACATTTTCCCTATGGACATCTTGAAGTATGCAGGTTTTGACTTACAGGTAAACTGAAAGCATGTGTGTTATTTTACCCCTGTCAGAAACCAAGTCACCTCTGACTTATTGGTCTGTTTTACCTCTGTCATATACCAAGTTACCTTTGACTTATTGGTCTGTTTTACCTTCGTGAGATACCAAGTCACCTCTGACTTATTGGTCTGTTTTACCTCTGTCATATACCAAGTTACCTTTGACTTATTGGTCTGTTTTACCTTCGTGAGATACCAAGTCACCTCTGACTTATTGGTCTGTTTTACCTTCGTGAGATACCAAGTCACCTCTGACTTATTGGTCTGTTTTACCTCTGTCATATACCAAGTTACCTTTGACTTATTGGTCTGTTTTACCTCTGTCATATACCAAGTTACCTCTGACTTATTGGTCTGTTTTACCTTCGTGAGATACCAAGTCACCTCTGACTTATTGGTCTGTTTTACCTCTGTCATATACCAAGTTACCTCTGACTTATTGGTCTGTTTTACCCTGTGAGATACCAAGTCAACTCTGACTTGTTGGTGGTTTGAAAGAATTAATTTTATTTTACCTCAGTGAGATATCAAGTAACCTTACATCTGTGAGATATCAAGTAACCCTTAGTGATGTGTTGGTGAGTTTTACATCTGTGAGATATCAAGTTTTTATTTAATTTGCTGATGAGTTAAATGCATGTATCTTAAAATATGAGAAGCTGGTATACAAATATATCAACTATCTGGTATCCTTTTATACAGTAACATTAGTCAGGTCAAAATTTGTACACACACATAAACTTGTTCTTATTCTTCGCTGAACGTGTCAAAGCAGATATGAGGTTCTGGTTCTCACTCTTGCCGACGCCTCGACCATAGACACCTGATACTGTTGTAGAGTTTCTGTGACATTATATCTTTCCACCTTATTCTTAGCCTACCTAGGGCTCTACATCCTTTGTTTCTGTTGGTGGAAAAACCTATTTAAAAAAAACAACTGAGTAAAACACTGTGTTGTATTCGCACATGAAGATACTGTGTCACAGGTTCAAATCACATTTATATGAATCACACAAAAATGAACACATGTCTTCAAGTGTCCCTGTTGTAGCTGGGTGGATAAGGAACACAGACCAGAAACATTTGTGTTGTGGTCAGGCGAAAAATGAACACAGTCAAGCAGTATCCGTGCTGTGACTGGACAAGAACAGGCAGTAGAGTAAATCCACCCTGGCAGTGACAGGCTCTCCGATACACAGAACACCAGAAAATAATTAATCCAGTTTCTTGTATTAATGCCCTGTTACTTTTTTTCTGTGTGAAGACTGCAAACGATTTGGTTATCCAACCTCTGAGAATCCTAGCAATTACTCTTTACGGACTGAGTTTCCTCTGAGTTAGCCAATCCTAATATAAATTCTCAAAGGATTTAGTTATTTAAATCAAGAGTATTCTGATATTGCCAAAGAATTCACTCACTCCTCAACACTTCTCAAAGAATTTAGTTATCAAATTCTGTAACCTGAACATCTATTCTCAAAATATCTAGTGTATTTTTGAGAAGATATCAAGCATCGTCCAAGGATTGAGAAAATCCTGAGAATCCTCAGTTTCTCAGATGGTTACATTCAGAAACCCTCTTACCATAATAAACATCCTCAAAGGATTTTGTGAAATCCTGAGAACAATCCTAACAAGTCTTGTCCTTTTTTTTCACTGCTGTGTCAAACAATCGAAATTTGTAGGAAACTATCATTGTCTGCCTCTGCTGGCAGCGTTTTAACACATTCAAGAAGCTAACCACATCCTCTACATCAGTGAAATGCTGACAGTGAAATACTTCTGATGCTGATGTCTGGGTATATTTGGGTACATCTACTAGGTAGCAGCGACTTCAGTGCCCTGATAATAACTCAGAGAAAGCTCCATGTAACGATGAGTGGGGTAACAACATCAGCTTTCAAAGTCATGCAGAAATGTGTTGAGGAAATCAAAAGATGGCCTCGAATGAGCAGTGCTCTGCCAGCACATCTGCATGACATCATAGACTTCATGTGGACATCCTTCAGGCTTCTCCATGCGGTAGCCATCTTGAATACTCTCGAATGCTTCTTTGCTTGTTTTGTCTGAATCATAAAAAAGAATTATTAAAAGAATAGTTTGTATTCATCTGCCAGTTTAGTGAAATGACACATAAAACACATGCTTTTGTTTATCTGTCAAGCTTAGCTTAGTTAGTTAGTTAGTTATTCCTCTTGTGCCAAAGATGGCGCATAGGGCAGAGGTCATAGCTTTCCACGTCCGTCAGTTCGTTGCCACTTGATGTAGGTCTTGAGTGCGACTGAGACCTATGGTTGAGCTCTCTCTTGTGATGGTTCTACGGAGAGTTTCTTTTGGTCTTCCCTGTTTTCTTTTACCCTCTGGTGACCATATGAAGGCTTGGTGGGGAAGTCTCTGAATGTCCATTCTGAGTACGTGACCGATGTAATTCCAGCGACGCATTCTAATAAAATCAGACACATATTTTTTTTTAGCTTAGCTACATGACAAATAAAACAAAAGCTTTTGTTTATTGGTCAAGTCAAGCCACATGGCAAAAAAAACTTATGATCATATTTATGTTAGGTTTAGCTAGATGACAAAAAAAAAATGATTGTATTTATTTAAGGTTTAGCTACATGACAATTAAAATAAATGCTTGTATTTATCCGCCTTTTTTGGAGAGCGACTGTAGAGGAGTGGTTATATGATTGTCTGCCACTCCAAAAGTTTTCCATTTGAATCAGTATTGTGGCAGATTGTTTTTTATAATTTACTGGGCCTCCATGTCAAGCAAACATGGTGGAAACGTGATACCAACCACATCTCCCATAGAATATCATCTGTTCTATTTTTAAAAAAAACCATATGCCTAAAGCGCTTATGAAGTTTTTTTGGGGAAAGGGCGGAGGGGAGGGGGTATTTTGCTTTTCGATCTATCATATTTAGCTACATGGAAGTAATAAACTTTTAGCTGCATGAAAAGCACAAAATTATGTTTGCACCCATTTGTCAATTCAGCTGAAAAACACTGATTTGAGATCATAACTGCTTTTAAAGAAAACTGGTTGGGTTGGAATGGATTCACTAAAAATAAAACAAATTAAAGTAAGCAAAGCTTTCAGATAAATGATAAATGACATAGACTCTTCATCCATCTGTAAGCTTATTAGTTTAGGGAAAATAAGCTAAACTCTCTCACAAATCATTTGTAGGTTAGTAAGGACAGAAAGCCAAACTCCATTCATTCCTAGGTTTAATTTTGGGAAAGTAAGCCAAACTTTCCATTCATGTGTGTGTTTAATTATGGAAAGAAAGCCAAACTTTCCATTGATTTGTAAGTTTAGTTAGGGAAAGAAAGCCAAATTTTACACTCATTTGTAAGTTTAATTAGGGAAAGAAAGCTAAACATAGGTTTAATTATGGGAAAGTAAGCCAAACTTTCCATTCATTTGTAAGTTTAGTCAGATAAAAGAAAAAGGCAAACTTTCCATTTATGAGTAGGTTTAATTATAGGAAAGTAAGCCAAATTTTCCATACATTCCCTTCTTCTTCTTTTCTTTACTCCTGCAATGTGCCGCTGCGTCAGGGCAGGAAGAGATCCCTGGAACGGGCCCTTCTGTTCGCTATGTAAATAGTCCTTTCAGAGTCTCTGACATTTCTGCGTGGTCGATGTCTGGATCTATTATCACTGTATCTGTACAACATTGCTCTCTATAGTGCCCTGCTTGCTGCCAATCTTGTTACATGGCCAAACCATTTGGTTTGTTGTCTACCTATAATGTTCACTATCGGTTCTCTGCCGACTCTCCTCCTGATATCATCCTTCCTAACTCGATCTTTTCTCGCTACACCTAGCACAGTACAAAAACATTTCATTTCTGTCGTGACTATTTTCCATCTGTCTACTGTCCATTTCATTCTAGTCAGTTCGTGAGATTAAACTTTCCATTCATTTGTAGGTTTAGTTAAAAGCAAGCGAAACTTTTCTTTCATTCACAAATTTAATTAGGGAAAGTAAGCCAAACTTTCTATTCATTCACAGGTTGAATTAGGGAAAGTAAGCCAAACTTTCTATTTATTTACAGGTTTAATTAGGGAAAGTAAGCCAAACTTTCTATTCATTCATAGTTTTAATTAGGGAAAGTAAGCCAAACTTTCTATTTATTCACAGGTTTAATTAGGGAAAGTAAGCCAAACTTTCTATTTATTTGTAGTTTTAATTAGGGAAAGTATGCCAAACATTCCATTCAGTTGTAGTTTTAATTAGGGAAAGTAAGTCATACTTTCTATTCATTCATAGTTTTAATTACTGAAAGTAAGCTAAACTTTCCATTCGTTTGTAGTTTTAATTAGGGAAAGTAAGCCAAACTTTCTATTTATTCACAGGTTTAATTAGGGAAAATATGCCAAACTTTCCATTCATTTGTAGTTTTAATTAGGGAAAGTAAGCCAAACTTTCTATTCATTCATAGTTTTAATTAGGGAAAGTAAGCCAAACTTTCTATTTATTCACAGGTTTAATTAGGAAAAGTAAGCCAAACTTTCTATTTATTTGTAGTTTTAATTAGGGAAAGTAAGCCAAACTTTCCATTCATTTGTAGGTTTAATTAGGGAAAGTAAGCTAAACTTTCTATTTATTTGTAGGTTTAATTAGGGAAAGTAAGCCAAACTTTCTATTTATTTGTAGTTTTAATTAGGAAAAGTATGCCAAACTTCCCATTAATTTGTAGGTTTAGTTAGGAAAAGTAAGCCAAACTTTTTATTCATCTGTAGGTCTAATTAACTCTTTTGATAACTTACTAAATGTTTATTGGTTACTCTATACTGGATGTACATTGGCTAAATTGTTCTTCTTATTCTTCTTTTAAGTTAACCCTTTCTACCGTAGTAATACTTCATGAGTAACAGTGAGACAGACCAAGAATTGGATCAGTAAGTCAGCCAACATCCATTCTGATTTACAGCTAGAATCATAAATTCAATACATGATATTTAAAAAAAAAAACTTATTTTACTTTATATAGCAGTTATGTCAAGCAGTTTAAAGACAGTGAGATTCAGTTATCACAATTATTAATATTATCACTGATAGATATAACCCCCTGTCTTACTTTAGGATTAGAACATTTGACTTTTAAAATACGATAAAAGAATTTCAACTGCTTGACCATCCACTGAACATTAAAGAAGACAGTGTTGGGTGGACAGCAATAACAGAAATCATGTGAAACTCTCCAAGCCTGACTGACCTTCATAGGGTTCCTTTCCTAATGTGAAGATCTCCATGAGAACAATGCCAAATGACCAGACATCTGCCTTGGTGCTGTACTTGTTGTACAACAGCACCTCTGGGGCCATCCATTTGATAGCCATCTTCAGACCTGAATCAGATAAGGATCATTTACTGTCTGTCACCAGTGCATACATTAGTGGTTACATTATTGATCATTTCATTCAGCCATTATTCATAAACTGCCACATGGTTAAATTATAATCAGCAGGGAAAGTAAATGAGGAAACTACAAGAAAGGTGCTGTATGTAATTCCTTCCCCTTTCCTTTCTATGTGCACGTACATGTGTGTGTGTGAAGAGACACAAAGATAGACAGTAGCTAAACAGGCAGAGACAGAGATAGACACATACAGACAGAGAGAGAAAGAGACAAAGGGGACAGACAGAGAGAGAAAGAGACAAAGAGCCAGAGAGAGAGAGATACACACAGACAGAGAGAAAAAGAGATAGATAGACACGCTAAAAAAGAGAGAGGCAGACGTGGAGGCTGGCAGAGAGAGAGAGAGAGAGAGGGGGAGAGAGAGAGACACACACACACACAAACACAGAGAGAGAGAGACTGAATAGTTTTTCTTGAACATATCTCTACTGAGATAAAGAAAGTGTGTGGTTTTAAAAAAAAAAACACTTTGCAAAACTCACTTATAACAACCTACTTAACACAAGCTGACCAATTACTACTTTTATAATCCTGGAGTACCACTAAAGACATGGAATGACAGTTAAATGCATTTTTTAAAAGAAATGCCTGTTGAAACTGATGATCATTAAATGGGATGAATTCAAGAATGGTGAAGAACTGGTATCAACAGTCACAAATCAAAGAAGATGGCAGTATCCTAGGCACTTCATGGGAAGAAGTGAGCACAAAATCACAAAACAGACACAGGAATAGAAAACAAATGGACTAACGGAACAAAGATATTTAACAGCAACCCTAAAACAAAACAAAAGTCAAATGTTGATGAGCAAGATGAAAGATGCTGGACTGGATTCCATCCATACCAAAAAAGATTGAACAAGGAAAGAAGGGGATGGAGGAATAAACTGCAAGCCTTGTGTGACACCAGGTAAAATTCTGGAAAGTAGAGGCGGCTGTCTTATATTTTATAGAGAGTGGGCACTTGGAGGATGCTGACATCATCCACCAAGTGCCCACTCTCCATAAAATATAGGTCTAGCCCTATATGCCCAGTACACCTAAAGGCGTGGAAAAGAGTCCTTCACTTTACTTAGTCATATTCCTAATGCGCATCTGGTGTGTGAATGGAACTTTACTTTTTTTTTAATGTTTACTACATATATATATAACAAAAGTGAGATAGACAACATGACACGGTGATGATGATGAGTAATGCCTGCTTCCTGATTTACCTCTTCTGAAGTTAAAATCTGGATCATCAACTGCCTTGGTCATCCCAAATCCAGCAACCTTAACACGATTTTGTTCACCGACAAGTATATTCCGAGCGCCAAGATTTCTATGTACAAACTTTTCCTTCTCCATGTATGCCATTGCATCTGCTATCTGTCAATCAAAAATATGTCAAAAATATGTTCAAGAATATCAAACTTTAGTGGGAAACAAAACCAATACACACACACACACACACAAAAGGAAGAAATTGGAGAACAGAAACAACTAAATCAAATAGGAGAGAAATGGCAATAACTACAAGAGATGACAATCTAAACCAGTGTTTCCTAAAGTGGGTGATACTGCCCACTATCGCTAGGTGAAATGATCCAGGCGAGGGGTAGTAACGAGTGCAACTTGAGGTGTTGCAACTATCTGTGGGGGTCATTGTAGTCTTGAGTATAAATGTGGGGAAGGAAAGTGTAAAATTTAAAAAAAAAAAAAAAAAAAAATAATGAACTGGAGGTCGAAGCACACAAAAGAATAGAATAACATGTGTAAGGAGTGGGGGCTGATTTTTGCTTATTTCATCTGATGTATAACAGTTAAACAGTGATACTTTATTTTCCATATCATCACTATTTCATTAACTTTGGTTGATAATGAGGGGAGGGAGAGGGGAAGAAGGACCTAGGACTGTCACTGGGAGTGTGAAATGTTAAGGAATCTTATCTGATGCCCAGTTCTCATCCTCACCATTGTTCCTATCCATTCAATCAATAAAATGTCAGGTTCCAATTTTATGAGGCTCCATCAATCCCATCGTGGAAGTAAAAGTGGTCGTCAGGATGATGACCACATCACCCACTAGTGCCAACTGGTCTATACAAAAGAATAACATGCCCACACAACTACTAGTCATCATCATTATCACATGCTCTGCCAACTGGCGTAGGCACTTATGCGTCTCCACAGATCACGATCCCTGGTTGCCTGGAACAGCTCTCTTGATGATATCCCTCCATGCCATCGTTTCAGCCCATCCAGCACCCTCTCTTTTGATCTACCTCTATTCCTCTTTCCACTGACCTTTCCAGTTGTCACGATGTTCTCCAATGACTCACTTCTCAATATGTGGCCAAAGAACTGTGTTTGTCTTTTTCTTACCACCACTAGTGGTGAAAAAAAAATCCTTTACTTTCACATCAACCCCAAAGCATATATAGATAAAAGAAATCAAAGGAATCAGATCTAGGCCATTATCTCATTACGAAAACATACTAACCCCAGCAACACCATTGATACACAACAACAAAGTTTTTGACATTTTCAGCAGTGTGCTGCTGCTAAGTCACAGTGTGTCTTACTTTGGTAAACCCAGGTCAGACATTTCTGTTGAAAAAGAACTGGTTTGTCAGTGCTGACTTTCCCAGTGAATGACAAAATATAAAGAAGAAAAATATATGCTTAAGTCAAAGTGTCTGTCTCGCAACACTAAGATAAAAATTTGTAAAACGCTGATAAGACCAGTCGTTTTATATAGCTCTGAAACTTGGAGCACAACTTAAAGAGATGAAGCCTTATTATAGGTTTTCGAAAATAGAGTATTACGACAAATTTTTGGACCTATCAAAGATGCAAAGAGCGGGGAATGGAGAGAAGCAACAACGAAATCCATAATCTGTTTAAATCACCATCGATAACTGACATCATAAGAGCTAATAAACTGAAATGGTTGGGGCATATTGAGAGAGTGTTAGATGACAGAGAAATGAAAACTGTATAAACAAGGAAGATGATTGGTCCTAAACCATGAGGGAGACCAAGAAGAACATGGAGAAATAATGTCTAGACAGACCTGCAAACACTTGGTGTCACCAACTGGAAAATACATAAGAGAAGGCCAACCAAAGAGATGAATTGCGGCGGGTGATATCTCCAGCAATGAACCTCAAAGGCTTGGAATGCTGAAGAAAAAGAAGAGGAAGAGGAAGAAAAAAAAAAGATGGTAGCTCCCTCAATCATGGTGCAGTTGATGGCACACCTAAAGTTCCTGGAATATGTACATAGAGAAAACATTAACCCCCTCATCAGTTCAAAATAAATCATATCTAGACAGACGGGTGATTTCTCCGCAACATTTACAGATTAGAAATCACCCACCCTCCCCCTTCTATCTCATGCTCTGAAAGTTGTGGGTTTGATTTCAAACTCCATCCTCAGTTTTTGCATGCAGGTGATCCTGCTGTACTTTGGGAATGTAGCTCAGAAATTTGTTTTCTGTGCAATGCTCTATGGCTGAACTTCTTCTTCTTCACTTCCTCTTTTACCGCTGTGGGTGTCGAGGGAGATATAAGGTTCTGTTTCTAGCTCTTCTGGCTGCCTCGACCATAGGCACATCGTGCTGTTGTAGAGTTTCTCTGATGTTATCCTTCCATCTTGTTCTTGGTCTACCCCGTGCTCTACGTCCTTCTTCTCTTTCCATGTATGCTTTGTATGGTATGGTGTCACAAGGCATTCTCTCTAAGTGGGCGAACCATTTCACTTGCTGTCTTTGTATGTAATCCAGAATTGGTTCTGTGCCGACTTGTTCTCTTATGATCTCATTCCTGATCTCATCTCTTATGGTCACTCCTACAGCCCTTCTCAGACATCTCATTTCCGTGGTTACTAATTTTCTTTTATGGTTTGTTGTGAGTGACCATGTCTGGCACTGGTAGCACAGAGTTGGAATAAATATGCTTTGAATAAGATGTCTCTTTGTGCTGATTGGGATTGTCTTATGCTGTAAGAGGGGGGCTAGCTGTCCCAATACTTGGTTTGCTTTACTGCATCTAATGTCAATTTCTTTATCCAATTTCCCATCTTCGGTAAATGTAGTTCCCAGATATTTAAACTCAGATGCCTGTTTAATGCCTTTGTATTCTATTGCTATGTTTAGATCTGTCTTCTTTTTTCCTATTGACATTACTTCTGTCTTTTCAGTGTTGATTTTCATATTATTTGTTTTACTTTCTTCATTCATGGATGTTAGATGTTGTTGCAATTTCATGGCTGTATCTGCTATCAAGGCCTGGTCATCTGCAAAGAGTAATTCGTTGATCTTACTAAGATCTTCATTCATGGGCTTGGCATTCTTGCATATACTGTCGATGTAGGTGATAAACAGCAGTCGTGATAAGACACACCCCTGTCTTACTCCCGATGTCACTGTGAAAGGATGAGATGTTCCCTGATTTATTCTAACTACACTTCTACAATCACTGTATAAACTTTTGCACACTTCGATGAGGTGTTCGCTTACTCCATATCTTGCCATTATTTTCCATAATAATTGTCTGTCGACTCTGTCAAATGCCTTCTCCTGGTCTACGAATGCTACAAATAAGTTCTTATTGTATTGGCTGAACAACCACTCTAAAAGAGTGACCAACACATACTGGGTTCAAATGAGTGCAATTAAGTCAATCCTCTCAATGTTAAACAAATGAAACCCTTTACTTGTTTAACTCTACCGCTCTCAGAAGCCACAAAACTGACACTTTTGGCTGGGACCAATTCCCCTAATTGTCACTTTTCCAACTTGTCTGTAGTGACCCGTTTCTACTGGATAATGCTACTGGTTGTGTGCACACCTGCATAAGTATTTATGAGGTCATGATGCAAATATTTTAAATAAAAATAGTAGCAAGGGTAAGTCCTTCAAACCAAATGGGTTTTTTAAAGTCAAA